AATAATTATATGCACTAATTTTTTTAATCTATTTTAAAAAATAAAAAGGGAGAATTTTTTTGGCTAATTAATGGTTTTCCGCCGTTAAATGAAATGATAACATTTGAGTAACATTTCTTTCACTATCATAATTAATAACTCCAATATTTATAACGAAATGCTATAAAATTTTTAATGAAACTCAATATTCAATCTCTACAAATTAGAAGAAATAATCGATGATTCAATTAGAAGGAAAATAGGAATATATTTTTATGTCTGTTTACATATAAAATAAGTAGGCGAATGACATGTTACGTAAACTCTTAAAAAGTCATTTTTTTTTATTAAGTAAATAAATAATTGATGAAATCATCCAACTTTTATATTTTTTTTAGTTCAGGAATAGATTTATCTTTGCTGTCAGAGCAAACTTGTCAATATATTAATTATTTATAAATAAAAACTAAAAAGCCCTAATGATCGATCCGAACCAATTAGATTTGAATTTTTCGCATATATAGTATTGGCTAGTGGACACCCAAACATGAATTTGTGAATTACTATATAATATTAAGACCGAAAGCCAAATTGGCAATGGCAGGTAGAGAAGACAGAGGCAGGCAATATGTTTGAATTTCGACAGCCTCTTCGTTCAAAGACTGAAAAATTCTTTCTTTCTTACATTGTTGAATTCCGAGGTTTGATTTTAATTAGCTGTCCATAACTAGCTTTTGACTAATCTAAATATTAAAAAATTGTGGTTTCTGTTCAATGCATGCCAGCTCTTTACTCTCGGAGAAGAAATCAATTCCAGTGGAGGGATTTCACTTTCCAGCACTATTATTAATCATCCATCCAAACACATATACACATGCTTCTGTTAAAAAGAAAAAAAAGACTGATATGAAACTTTAGGTTGTGTCAGTTAATTGCATTTGTTAAACACCTATTAGGGTTTCTTAATTATATATTTCCAGCATCATTAACTAAAATCCTGGAAGGTTTGGGATGCAATTATTTATATTTTTATATTTTGAAAGTACAAAATGTAAAATAAAAAATTCTTGGATTGGCTATTAAGTAGTTGGTAAATGATTTTGAAGAAAGCTTTGTATATTTTGTTTGGCTGACAAAGGAATGAAGGAAAAAAAAGCAATAAAAAGACAAGTGGGAGGTGCATTTCTATGTATTTGGACCAGTCAATGTCTCTTCCATTCAATTATTCCACCATATTTCCCATTGGAGAAAATCTTTCTTTTTTTCTTTTTTTTTTTTTAATATTCTGTCAACATTATTAAGACCAACATTTTCTCCTTAATATTACTTCTCCCTAAATAATTTATGAGGACTAATAAGCATTAGAGAAAAAATCTTTTTTTTTTCCTTGAGAAACAATAATATTTTTAGTTACCCTTAAATTGAAATTCATTAGTAAAGTATTTATATAAGCATTTTATAGTATAAAAAAATGAAGACAAATTATTAGTACTCATATTCTCTCTCCTTTCTCTTTGTTGAATGTCACAATGTCAAAATGAATATACTCTATACTTTGGTAAGGTACGCAAAATAACGCAAAGTAAGATTAAAATTTCTAAGATAAAAAGGATATGTTGTTAACAATTGAAAAAGTTAAAGAGATTTTTAAAATCGCATAGAAAATAAAAAATGGCACATGAGAATAAAAATGGGACAAAGAATCATGCAGGAATTGAATCATAGAGAGAATCTTACACATGAATTATCCTTCTGACATTGTGACGTTGTAACACTCAACTCAAGGAGAGAGAAAATATTGATCTGTAATGCTGCTTGACAGTTAAAATAAATTAAAAATTTATTGTTGTTTGTTGCAATCATAATATAACAGTGTTTTGTCACACTATCACCGGAATAAAAGCCTTTAAAATATCAAGAAAACACAATTCTAGTAAATATTTTTCATAAAACACCGTTTTCGAAAATAGTTTTTTTGCAAAACATCATTTTGGTAAAAAAACTCAATTCTATTACTATGTCTTCTGTAGCTGTAGTTTAAAAAAGAAAAAGAAAATTAGCTTTTAAATTTTGGAATCAAATTATAATTGAAATATTTTATCATTTTCTAGATTCTCTAATATATCTTATATTTTCTTCTTGGAGGTTCTCTAATTTTTATTCAGTTGAATTTGAATAACTACATTGAAATTTACATGTGATGCTACTGCTTTTTTTAAAAAAGAAAAGAAAAGAAAAAAAGGATAATATATAAAATATTATAAAATTCTGTCTCCAAAAGAGGACATATTGTAATTTGAAAGTTACCAAAATCTAGGATTTGCAAACTAACTAGGAGATCTAAACCTAGTAGTAACTAGTAAGTCTCTATACCTATAATTGGTTTTTTTTTTTTTTTTTTTTTTTTTTTTTTTTTTTTTTTTTTTTGAAAGGGACCTAGTAATTGGTTTTCTGTTATACCTTATTTCTAAATTATTTGCTTGGCTTCTTTAATTTGACATTTTCTTTAAGCGCCCTAATCAAGTTTTTTTTTTTTTTTTTTTTTTTTTTTTTTTTTTGAAAGGGACCTATAATTGGTTTTTGTTATACCTTATTCTAATTAATTTGCTTGGCTGTCTTTAATTGACTTTTCCTTAAGCTCCCTATCAAAATTCAAGAATCTATATTTCAGTCCATTGGTTAACCATGATAGCCTTGAATTTGATGGATAGAGTAGTTTGTTTTTTCCAAGAATGAATTTGAACGCACCACAACTCAACCTTTCTCTTCCAACCTCCAACTTCCTTTGAAATTAAGGGCATGTTAAGCATAATTAGCTATTGACTGTTTAATATTGTTTAGCTGTTAACTGTTTGAATAGCGTTTCATGAAAAATTACTCAAACAGCTCACTAAACGTTACATGAGTTAATTCTTAACAAAACATTATTTTAACCTCTAAAAATTAGTTTAAACGCTATATTACTAAACGCTATAAAAAGTAACGTTTACCACTTAAAAGTTGTTGCCAAACACAGCTTAAATTAAGTTTTTTTTTATATTAAATTAAGTTTTTACTCTCTAATTAATTAATTAATTAAAAATTTTAATATATGTGTTAGTGGGTTCCTAGCCACCGCAACGTTATCCCCTGAAAAATGCACTGTTTTAAAGTTAAAGTTGCAATTTGCAAGTTGTGGTTTTTTTTAATTGAATTGGATAATTCTAAGTACTTATTAAGTAATTCTTTATGCACTAGACTAGTTTTTTTCTTTTTTATTATGTATAACTAGGAGATTTAATCTCCTTGAGCCGTAGGGTGTAAAAGTTAAAGTTTTTGACTCTTCCAACAAAGTGCGTTTTCCGGAAATCGAACTTGTGTTCTCACACTTACTGAAATTGGAATCGTTAACCACTTCAACTAACACTTTGTTAGTAGACTAGTCATATTATTTAATTAGCCTTCACCATTTTTTTCATTTGCTTTTTGTAAAAGAATGGTATATGGCTAGCTGTAACTATTATGTATATAAGACTTTGGTAAATTTTTTACAAGCGTTCTGGTGATTAATTGTCTATCTCAATGGTTTTTTTTCCACTAAAGTATTGTGATTAGTTAAGTGAGAAGATTAGTGTTGACTGAATCTGCTAACTTGTAATTAAATGAAATTAATTATATTTGCTGTTCTTTTGGTCCTACTACTAGTATTTGACCTCTGCCGAAAGCAAAGGCTGCAGGCAGAAAGAAAGAAAGGTAAGTGGAGAAATGTAACCACTGCAAGGAAGAACATTCAAGATTCAACAAGCAGCCTCTGCGACTTTGTAACATTGACAAATCACAATTTATTTATTTATGATAGCTACAACCTGTAAATACTTTTCTTGCCTCTCTCTTTCTCTCTCTCTCTCTCTCTCTCTCTCTCTCTCCTCTAACAAACTGTTCTCTTGACCGTCCTCTTTCTTCTCTCTCCTCTCTCTCTCTTCTTTCTCTCTTTCGCGCTGGACTCGGCAAAACTAGTGATCCGGGCCGGGCCTCTCTCTCTCTCTCTCATCTTCTAATACTACTATATATACATATATTTGTACAATACTTTGAAAAATTCTTTTGCCTATTATACGATGGACGTGCATAGTTTAGAGCGAAGGAAGGAGAAAACGCTTGCACTATCATTGGATTCTCAATTAAAAATAAACACAAATTTCAATTGATTTTTCTATTTTAAATTATGTTCCTCAACTTCATCTAATTAAGTTAGAGTTACATGTACAGAATCACGCATCTTAAGGTGTTCTGTGGCTTAGATAGTAACACATGTAGTCTTCGGTAGTCACTCTTTTCTCTTCAATAATATTGGAGATAATTGTCGTATGTCCTAGATGGAAAAGTTGTCTTTAATGAGAGAATTACTTGCCAAATCTTTTTTGTATGTGATTCTCATGGGAAGTAGTGGTGCAGTACTATAAAGACTAAAATTAGTATTTTTCTCTCTCTCTCTCTCTCTCTCTCTCTCTCTCTCTCTCTCTCTCTCTCTATATATATATATATACATATATTTTACATATTTGAAAAATTCTTTTGCTATTCGATGGAGTGCATAGTTTAGAGGAAGAAAAAAAGCTTCACTATCATTGATTCTCATTAAAAAAAAAAAAATTATTGATTTTTCTATTTTATTATGTCTCACTTCATCTAATTAATTAGAGTTAATTACAGAATAGCTCTTAAGGTTTGGCTTAATAGTACACTTTTGTCCTTTTTCTTCAAAATTATTGTAATTCTAGTCCTTGAAAATTTTTAATAACATTATTTACAAATTTTGTATTGTTCATTAGTGGCAGTATAAAGACTAAAATTAGTATTTTTTTTTTTAAACAGTGAAAATCAAAAGAGTATATTAATACAAACTTGGGGAAATTTTTCTTTTTATTATCTCGCATTTTATCTCCAAGAAAATGGCACCGACCACTTCCACTTCCACAACTCTTGTAATCAAGTTTAAATTAAAATAAAAAATTCATTAGCACAAAAAAACAGAGAATCAATTGACAGAGAGAGAATCTTACACTTTCTATTTCATAATAATGAATTAAAAGCTACAAATAAAGAAAAATGAAAAAATCTCAATAAAGAAAAAGAAGAAAAAAAGAAAAAAGAAGGCATTTGCAAATTCTATTTACAAACCAATACAATTTCTTGAAGTAGTAATTCCACCATCTACAACAAGATTATGACCACTAACATATTTAGATTCATCACTAGCAAGATAAAGAGCAGCTTCAGCAATATCTTTGGCCCTTAATGTTGGTCCTCTTAGATTAGCCAATCCTCTAACAAACTCCTCCATTTTTTCCACTTCTTCCTCACAAGGCAACCCATAATTCATACAATCCTCTTCTTCTTCCTCTTCACCACTGCTACTACTTCTCCATGCATTGACAAGCATAGAAGTAGCCACCCCAAATGGAGATATACAATTAACCCTAATTCCATATCTCCCAAGCTCACAAGCTGTATTCTTTGTTAATCCAACAATGGCATGCTTTGAAGCTGTATAAGCATGTGGCCCAAGACCTCCCATAACACCTGCAACACTTGCTGTAGAAATTATACAACCAACTTTTCTTGGTATCATAACTCGAGCTGCGTGCTTAATGCCTAAGGCAACACCTTTAACGTTCACGCGCATGATTTTGTCGAACTCATCAACATCAAAATCAAGAATGCTTTTGTTCTTGGGTTGGTTTCCGAGAATTCCTGCATTGTTGAACAGAATATCGAGGCGACCGTAGTGAGAAACTGTTGAGTTTATTAGGTTTTCTATGTCTTCTTCCTGACTTACATCACAATGAACATAAGTTACTGATGGAGATAAAGCGTTTGCAATTATTGTTCCTAATGTGTCTTCAATATCTGCTATTACTACTTTTGCTCCATGTCTTGCAAACAATCTTGCTGTCGCCTCTCCTATTCCTCTTGCTCCCCCTGTAACTATAGCGACTTTCCCTTCCAATCTGCCAGAAAAAGAATTGTTGTTAAGTAAAGATAATGAAACAAAGAAAAGTTAATCAACAGAGAAATTTATTATGAAGTACCTTCTAGGAGGAGGAGGATTATTTTCCCTTCCCAAAACATGAATGCCATGAAGGGTTTTCTCAGGCATCAGTTGAGCAGGCATGGTTTTATCCAAGTGAAGAAAAAAGAGAGACAGAGAGAGGAAGTAAACTATAAGAGAGAATACTGAAATTGTCAAATTGATAAGTCTAAGAAGAGAATTTATAGGCAGTGTGAATATTGAAATTGTCAGGGTGTGGGTTTCGTTAGTGTGCAGTTTTCTATTTCAGGGCATATGCCATACGGGTTGCAAGGTAACTTCCTTGTAAAATGTTGGCCTCTACTAATGAAAAACCCAACCCTTATTGTCATTATTATTAATTAATTTGCTTGTCCCAAAGGACAAGATTCCCACACTGTAATACGCATAAAAATCTAATTCTAAGATAATTAACCAAAAAAAATATCTAATCTCGCATGTTCTTGTGATTTAGTCAATCTGTATATTTATTTATTAAAAAAAAAAAAAAAAACTTTCCTAGTCCTATTGATGCACAAATGTCTATCTGTATTAAAAGGGATTTTTTTTTTTCAACTAATCCGGATCAAATTCACCATTTTAATCGAAAACTACTCTAAGTCTATACTTTAAGAGTTTAATTAGAAATACAATTTTATCCTCAACTTGTTTTGCATTTGATGTCATTAAAGAAATCTTTTCCACACAAATAAACATGCTTTAGGTGTGAATTAACGTTTTTGAGTACCAATAAAATGCATTTAGATCGCAATTTCGTTTCTCGTTACGTTTAATGTAGTTGGCTTATTTTCCACAAACAAATAAACATACTTCTTTCATTCTATTTGGATAATCAAGAATGGAGTTCACTTAATGAAATGAGTACTCATTTCTTGCTTTTGAAAATGAGTTAAACAAGCTCTGAAGCAGAGAGAAACATAGACCAAATGTAACTTAATTTAGCTCCAATGAAGGTGTACTAATTTAATTTAATCTAATTTCAAATGTGATTAAGTGTGACTCGATCAAGTATAACTAGGTTTGATTATTTAAATAAAAATTGAAACTAAGTGTAACAATCAATCGTTACTCAATTTAACTCCAATCTTTAGGTGTCTTAATTTAATTTCATTCTAAATATAACTTAATATGATTTAATCGAAGGAGATTTTACTTAATTCAAATTAGAGTGTCTTAATTTAATTTAATACCTAAGACTTGCCAAGTGTGATTTAATCTAATTTTGATTAGGGTGTCACATATTAATAAATTTCCAAGTGTGAGTTAATCAAGTAACTTAATTTGGTTCCGATTAGGTGATTTAGTTTAATTCAATTTATTTTCAAACATGACTTAATTTAATTCAAATTTTATATCAATTTAATAAAATTTCAAGGATGTTTTAATTTAATTCTGATTATGGTGTCTCAGTTTAATTAATTGAATTTCAAATATGACTAAAATGTAACTTAATTTATTTCAATCAAGTGTTTTAATTTAATTTAATTTCAAATGTGACACAATGTGGCTTAATCCAGGTAACTTATTATCTAAATAGATCTTGAAATCAAATACGACTTATTCAATTATTACTTAATTTAATTTCAATTTTGGTATCATAAATTAATTTAATTCCTAACGTGGCTTAATCAAGATTGACTTAATTGAATTCAATTAGAGTGTTTTAGTTTCAATTAATTTAAATTCTAGTATGGTTTAATTTAATTTCAATTAGGATTATCTCAATCCAATAAAATTTTAAATATCCCTTAATTCTATTTCTCTTTGGATATATTAAATATAATGTATTTATCCAATGAATTCAATATTCTAAAACTTTTAATTAATAAACAATGGACTATGAATTTATAATACTATTTTATATTTTAATATTTACATGAATTTTTGTGTATTTGTAAAAGGAAATCAAACCTAATTAACTAAAATTAAATAGCAACAAGAAGTACTTTGTAAAAGAAAGCTAAAAATAAATAGCAACAAAAAAATACTTTGTAAAAGAGAAATACTAAGTATATTAAAAATTCTGTTATAGTTCGGAATTGAATTCCTATACTTGACTTTATTACTTCGAGTCCAATGCCACTAAGCTACAAATGAAATAATGTTGCACAAGAAAAATTTATCATTCGAGATCTACGGTGGCCGTTCACAACCTTCCCCCTCTCCATCACAGTCTATAACCACTTCCGTACTACTCTATTTTGTCATGCACTTTAATGTTCAATTACGTAGTTTCGAATGAAAAAAAAAATCAAATAATCATTAATATATGGAATGAAATTGATTTTCAAAGAGAATTAATTGTAATATTTATATGTTTGACACTTTCCTGATTGTATTTAATATCATATAGCCTCGTACATTTTATAAAGATACTTTAATGTGATTTTCAAAAATATACGAGTAAATATACACATTTTAAATTTAATTTTCAATTTTCAGTACATAATATTTGACAAGGGCATTAATGTTATAAAATCACTCATGATTCATATCAAAACCAACTATGATTTGGATCGTTACGAGCCAAAAATCTTTTCCGTGGGTATATATATATTGATTTTCTTAGTTGCCCTTTCCATAAGTATTCTCTTATAGATCGAAAACTGATTTTGTTGAGACCATCTACCGAATTAACCCTACCTTACTACTTAAACCACTTTCTACATTTTTTTTTTCAATTATATTTATATTTACCACTTAAATCACTCTATAAAATTAAATAAAATTTGTGGTTTAACAATATTAATTGTATTTTTTAATCAATGAAAAAGTAAAACTGGACTTATTATTACGAGACAGAAAAATAATAAGTAATTTCTTTTTTTATATAATCGTGATTCATGAGGGATTAGTTTGATACAGGTAAAACCTAGTTAGCTTGTTTGGGTGCTCGATGCGAGACCTTTTGTCCAAATGAATGTGCACATGGTTGAACAGATTTCTACCCTTACGCAAGTGGCTCGTACGATGCTGAATTGTTCAATACAAGAAAACAGGCTCAAGTGAGCGACTAAAATCTGCCTCCCTTCAAACTGCATTCTTCCTCCTCGATAGTATAATGTTAACGAGAACTTAATAAAATAATAAAAAATGGAAAATAACTCCTAAAAACTTGTATTAAGATTGGAATTTTCTCTTATTATACTTTTTTTTTTTTAACCGTTCAGTGTCTGAAATCCACTAGCCCGTCTAATCTAGATTCGTATTGGGTAAACCCATAAAGGACGTAAAACGCTTTCTTCCGAGTATTTAAAGGGATTTCATACTCAGAACTCGAACCTTATTTTTGGTTAAAAAAGAATGGATTCTTGTCGTTTATCTCATATCTTGAGTGTCTACAATATTAGTATTATTATATTATGCGCAGTTAGCCTGGTAGCTGGTTGATCAATAATTGTTTAATTAAACGAGAAAGCTACCAGAATCGAAAAGATTGCATCCAAGCTTAAGCCAGACTGGAGAAGAATATATATCTTAGACTAAAATGAACCATGACTCGTGCCTAAGATTTTGGTCAATGTTAAGTATCTAAAACCCATTAAACAAATGAGTAGTAGTTGTGCTGTGCATTGAAATTATTTATCTTATCAGAGGGAGGGATGACCGCCTTTATTATTTTAACAACACTTGCATTTGCACATATTCCTACCACCAAATGTTTTTAAAAAATGTCAAGAAAGACACTTCAATCTTCAGTGCTTTTGGTATTTTTTAGTGGGTGTTAATTTCTCTCTTTTTATGTTGTTACTCCTTATTAATGAGCTTTTATGTAGATATTTTATTTTTCCATCAATCGAAATATAAAATGAATGATTGATTGGTTATGGTCGGAGATTTCAGATCTTCGTTATAATAAATTTTCGGTAAAACGAAGTTCAAGATAATATTGTAAAAAATTTATTTTATTATACTTTTTAAAATAGACCGAGTTTTACCCTGAAAATGAACATTTTTTACCAAGATCATTTCGAAACAAAAAATTTTAATTTTCTACATTTGTAATTTTTATTCATATGGAAATATTATAATTTACTAAACTTATATTTATTTGTAATGAATTGTCAAGTTAAAAAAAAGTGTACATTTATTTTTATTTTTTATTCAATTTTTTAAATTTTAAAATTGATTATTTTTATTTTTTTATGCTGTCATATTTTCTTTTAGTTCTGTTATATTTTCCATAATATAAATTATATAACTTAGATTGTACCTGAATTATTAGTCACCCGGCAGCCACTACACATGTTCTCATAGTTTTGGTAATACCGGAACTATGGCTTGTACTATAATATTATTTCTTTGTAAGATTTTAAAATTCGAATTAATATTTAACGAATTAGGAACGGGATTTTGAATACAACTCAATTCGAAGGATTCCAGCTAAGATCTTAATTAAAAGTCGGGTTGACTTGTTTAGACGGTTCATTTATGGATTTGAAAGAATATATTTTTAACATTTCATTGAAAAAAAAGAATAAAATGGAAATGATATTTAAAATATTTTTATTTTTATTTGTTTAATTCATAAATAGCTACCTAACTCGAATCTAGATAGATTTAATTTTCAAAAATCTTCTTTTACTTAAAAGTTTTAAACCCTCTTAATCTCTAAAAAATTAAAAGTCTTTACCAATAAAATATTAGTTCAAGTGGTAAGAGATTCCAACTCTTTCTGTAAGCGTGAAAAAGATCATATAAATACTATTTATTCGATCTCCAAAAAGTGTATTTTTCTGTACGGACTAAAATCCTGCTTTTGCTGTTACAGCTCTTTTGTTTTTTTCTCTCTCTCTCATTTAGCCAAAAGATCAGATAAGTACTATTTGATTAAGGTTTAAAAAAATTAGAGAAGCATATGGCAGGCCAGCCCCGAACTAGTAATGCTGGCAGTGGCAACATTAAGTTAAGCTCTTGTCATTTTTTGATAAGATCACCATATAATAATTTATCATTTCCCTCCTTGCTCCTTCCTTTTCTTTTTGTTAAGGAAAAGCAAAAGTAAACCCACATTTTTTTTGTGTAAATTATCTGAGTTGATCGTGACATTGTGATTTCTCATTTTAAATTTTAATTAGAATCTATTTAAATATAATTAAACGGAATGATCATGTTTTCTTTGAAAATGGAATTTTCCAAAATATATGTATATATAGTAAGCAATAAATGAATATATTTTATGATCTTCTTAAC